TTGCGGTCACCCTCGGGCCGGTGACGGGCAGTGTCTCCTCGCCAGATGGGAGCTGAGCAGGAGAGGTGGGAGCTGCAGCCACGCGGCCAGTGCGTGCCCAGGCCGCTCATTGGACGGCCTTGCGCATGTGCGGCGTGTGATCACCTGCCTGATTGGCTGGTTGGGTTGCTGGGCTCTGCATGCTGCCAGGCGTGCAGGGGCTGCTCCGGTGTCAGAAACTCTATGGTTGTGTTTTAACTCTAAAAAAACGGTCTTTGGCTCACCATCACAGAGACCATGCTCCTCCATACGCCTGCACTTAACGAAAGCAGCTTCCAGTCTGCCAGTGTCTCCCAGCTTCCCTCTGCTTATAGGCCTGCTCGTACAGGGTATCTTCATGTGTCCCTAGATATGCCCAATAAAGTTATCTTGCTATATCGCTTACAACCTCATTCATACCTCACTTAAGGTTGTGGCCTTCAACCTAAAAATCACTGTCATGAACTACTGAAGCAGTTGAGGGCAAAACTTTATTAAAAGAAAAAAAAACAAAAACTTAGAAGCTGTATAACTTGGCATGGAGCTTGGACTCCCAGAGACTTTTAAGGACATGTGAGAACATCTTTTTTTTTATTCAGTGCCTTGCACTAAGCTAGGTTAAATTCAATCTGCTCTTCCAGTCTTCTTCCCTTTATTTCTCTCCAGTGAAGATGAAGATCTAGAAATTTATGAAAAGGAGATATATAACCAAATAGGACAATTCCAGGAGGGAGGGGATAACGGCTGAGATTCAAGTCCATAGGTGTTAGCATCTCCACTGGATTTAAAAACTACACTGAATTGCTCTTTGTTTGCACCAGCTGGTGAATTCCATACTTCAGGTATGTCTGGGGAGCAAGAGGTATAGAAGGGAGAAACTGATCCCTCCCTTATTTTCTCCACTCATGCTTTTAGTTGTTTTTCCTTTCCCTGCAGCATTAGAGGTCAACCACAGTTTGAAGGAAGATGCAGGTCTCCAGGTAGTGCTCCTCCTCATATTTCTGGCTGCTGGTCATGATAACTTTCATCTGACCATTAAGCAGTCTGCTGATAGGCAGAGCCTTTGAAATATGTTAGTGACAAGACTAAGTTGGAGCTAAGGATACTGTCAAAGTCTTTCATCTCTTCCATGACATAGTTGTCCTGTGGCTTTGCTTTGGTCTTTTTCAGAAGGTTAATTGAGAATAGATGGGTGATGAACCTTTCTGAATTCAGCATCTTTGTTCAGGTGATTTGCAGATGGCTGATTTTGGTCATCTATGTTATTCCTTCCAATACTGGGTTTATTTTTAGAGCAAGTATTTAATTTCTTGCCTGTTCACAAAGTACTCTGCCCATTAATAAAGCTTTATACATAGTCATAATTACTCAGTGTAAATTATTAACTCATAAAAATTACTCCGAGCCTCCAACACATTTGCTTCCTTTTAAGTTTCTAGATAAAAGTATTTTATGATGTTCAGAATGTCTCTGAGACTGTTCTTTCATCTCAGCTTCTTTATTTGCTCACATTACTGTCAGATTTCTTAATTCTCCCTCATGTCGTATGACGAAGTATCTCTGGACCAGTACCATACTGCAACCTGTCAAAACGTGACAGAAAATGGCTCTGAATTCTTCTCTGACTTAAACTGCAGCTGTCATTTTCCATCAGTGTCCACTGTTGTAGATTAGCTCTTGTTGGCACAGTATGCCTGTGCAGAGCTTAAGCTGTGCTTTTCTCTGTAAGCGTCCACATTTCACAGTATTTACAGAGCTGTTTTGCTTTTAACTCCTCACTCCTACTCCTGCCACTCAGCTTCCTCTTGCTCCTTTGACTTTGCATCTCTGTTTCTGTTCTCTCTTTAGCTAAAATCCCTCGCATTGTTATGTCCATGGTTTCAGCACAGTAGCCTCCTCCATGAGGCCAGTACTTAGTGGAAATAGAAAAGGATTCAAAGAAACATCTTTTTGTGCTCTCAGTATCACCATGACGAGTATTTGCAGTATAAATAGGCCTAGCAGCAACACCTCCCCTGTTTGAGATTCTACCATTAGAATCACTTTGTCTGCTCTGGGTGGGCAGTACTGTCCCAAACAGGGCTGGCAACCACAGCCCAGGCTCCTATTATAACAGGTACAGGGCACACACACAGCATTGCAATGAGACAGCAGGCGGGTCTGAGCTGAAGGGCAAAGAGCCGAAGGAAGCAATTAGATGGTATTATTCAGCATGCTGAGCAGAAGTCACAGGACACCAAAAACATTACCCCTGCCAAGTTTTTGTAGAGGCTGGTGCAGAGAGAGGCTATATAGTAAAGTGAGGTAGAGTGAAGAGGCACTCTGTCTGTTTTATGAGGAACACTTTACCTGTGTGAGGACCAGCAGAGGAGAAAGTACATATTTGTTGGGAAGTACTGACAAAGGACCAGCTGTGTGTTTCACCTACCCCTTCACATTCCTCCCTCTCAGTTATGTCTCATCTTGTCGTAGATGGGGTGAAACTGGGGAAGCAGAAATTCAGTGAGAGCTAATTCAGACAGACTTTTGCACATCTTCACTCAACTGCAAGGTACATGTTTCTCAGGATGACACCTCTCCACAAGCCCATCATATACATAAGACCCACACCAACAGAGCAATATGCCTTGCAAAGCAGACATGTGCCCAGGGTTGGCTTTACTATCTTAAGCTATCAAAATTATGTAATATCTTCATTCTGTCTCATAACTTCTATCTATCCGAAGTATTTTGTATAGCACATGAATGTCACAGAAGACAATTATTTCTCCTCACAGCTCTCCTCTTACTGGGGAAGTGGAGCACGGGTCTAAAATGACCAGGCTGTCTTAATGTTTGGGTGGGCCTGAACCTAGGACTCCTTGTTAGCACCCAGACACCAGTCTCTACATGTGATCTGCACTGTCTGAGCTGCATTAACACACATCTTGGTCTTTTCCCCCCAAAACCTTGCACTTTTGCACATAAAAAAGGCAACACAAGGCAAAGCAAGAAAACAATGGGACACAAGAACACCCGCATCAATTCAGAATAAGGATTTGCCTAGTTCAGCATCTAGCCTCCAACTATGCTCAACTCTTTTTTTTTTTTTTTGCCTTCCTTTTCTCTTTTAGCCCCAGGTCTGGGTTGGTACCCTCCCCCATGTCACCGTGCCCACCCCTGAGTCTGGAATGACAGTGATCAAGCAGCTGTGACACAGGGTTCTCTCAGGGGAGGCTGAGCAGTGCTGGGCATAACCCTGATACCCTCCATTGCCCATCTGTCTACATATTCCCCCCCTACTCAGAGCTCATGGTGCTCCCCACAACACATACAAATGTCCATACTAGTGAAGCTCCTTGGCAGAGGGCACAAAAGCTCAGCTCTGTGCCAACCCCATCCCACCCTGGCCTTCGTTTTCCCTCCACAGAAAACTCTCCAGGCACTTTGGTGGAGGTGGGCTTACCAGGAGACTCCAGCTGGTGCCCCCTCCAGGAGTGTGGGCTCCTGTGCTCACTGGTACAAGAGAGGACACTGTGCTGTGTGAGCTAGCCAGTCATTGAATTGGTCTGTCATTTCTGTGCCCTTTTTGTATGTGTGCAAAAATTCAGAATTTTCGTTCTTGGAGAAAAAAAAAATAAAAGGAAGATAAGGAAACTGAAGAAAACCAAATAAACCAAGTATAAAGCTCATGTCCCTAGGGTCCACAGGCAAAACCCAAAGCCCAGTGACTGCAAAGAAACATGAGAAATGCAAGAACAGGACAGGTTTACATGATACTTTCCCACGTATGTGCCCATTGCTGAGGGGACAGCAGCAGTCAGTGTGCCTGTCCAGGACCATTTGCCTGGCAAACAGCTGGCAAATTTTGCTGAATCAAACCTCCTACCATGCCTAAGATGAATGTATCTAGAGTAATTTATAAGCTTTTCTTGTAGGCAGAGGAAATAAATAGTTGTGTGATTTGCACATCAGTGCTGGAAGAACCCAGGAACCCCTACTCCTTTGCTTAAGGAGCACTGACCACTAGAAACAGAGGATACCATTATAATGGAAAAAATCAAGCTAAATGGCATACAGAAATGTAAACACTGGGCTATGAGATAATATTTCCCTTTCTATAAAAGGAAAGATCATTTCATTAAAGCAAGGTAGGGGAAGACTGTAGGGGAAAGCTTGGAAGCTCACAGATAAAACACATTGAATTATGTCTTCATTCACTTTAAGTGCACAAGTACCTGGAGTTTTATTATCTACAATGTTACAACATTGCATAGTCCAAAAGACCTTGTTCATTTATCAGCAATCTTAACAAAAATCTTTTGTTCACGAGCAGCTTGTGTGTGAATGCAGGAGGGAAAATAAATAAATAAATAAATAAATAAGCCAGCAGCTGTTCAGTGACAGAAAGACGCAAACGCCATGAATTTGGACATAGGAAAATTCACCCAAAGCAGACAAAAAACATTAAGCAACAGCTGCATGACAAGAATATTATGAGAAATCAAGAACGAAACCAAGAAAGCAAGCAAGCAAGCAGGAAGCTACAATTACATTAAGCATTAGAAAGTTATCAGAAAATATTGTGATTCAGTCTAGAAGAAAAACAAACTTACTTCTTCTTATAACTTTCTCCACATATCTGATGCTCTCCTGGACTCATGTTCAGATGATGAGAAGGGTTTGGAAAGTCTGAGCCATGAACTGGGTCTTTGAACAGTCTTACATGAGCTTCGGTAGATTTAAACCTATCTCTAACTTTAACAGGAGGAAAGGAAGTTGGGGAAAAGGAAGGAGAGGGGAAAAGGAAGGAGGGGGAAAAGGAAGGGGGGAAAGGAAGGAGGAAAAGGGGGGAAAGGAAGGAGGAAAAGGGGGGAAAAGAAAGGGGGAAGGAAGGGAAGAGGGGGGAAGGAAGGAGGGGGAAAAGGAAAGAGGGAAGGAAGGACGGAGGGGGAAAAGGAAGGTGTGAAAAAGGAACCACAGCACACAAAACCTGCTAAATCCTTTCCAAACTCTGAATAGTTTCTATTCTGAATATTTGTAATACTGCTGTGTCCACGTCACAGTGTTGCAGGATACATGTTGTGTTGCAGTGCTGCATGTTGAATTCAGGTGCTACTTATCTACTCCAGGCACTGCTTTGAACAATATTTACAAGCATGTCTCAGAGCACAGATCTTCCTTTCAGTGCTTCTTCCTGGGACTCCATGGGCAGAACCAGGGTCTCAGATGTGCTTGTCCACATTTCCAGGAGTTTCAGCCTGTATTTCTCCATTTATTACACTTTTTCTGGCCTTCCATTTTACAGTTTAGCACCTCAGGGATAGACCACAGTTAAAATACATAACAGACTGCATAATATTTGTAAAACTAGTCTCTGTGTACTTGACACGCAAGAAGTGCAAATTGAGATAATGAAGCATTAGAAGAGCATAAATATATTTCTCTTCTCCTAGTTCTTTGGCATTGTTAGACTTACCTCATTTCCTGCCCAGATTCTTTCAGTAATACCTTACACTCCTGCACAAGACATTTCACACAGAACCACAGAATGGTTGAGGTTGAAAGGGACCTCTAGAGATCATCTGGTCAACCCTGCCCTGCTCAAGCAGGGACCCCTAGAGCACATTTGCACATGAAACTGAAATCTTTCCACTGCTCTCATGCAGAGGTGATTTCTCGCTGTGAAGGATTCTTCTTTTACAGAAATATGTTCCACTGTTGCTTTTTTTCTTTTCTCGCAAGCTTTCTTATTATATGGCTTCCTGGCCCTGCTTCTAAGGCAAGGCTTTTCCTTCAATCCCAGCCTGCTTCACAGAAGCTGGATACCTCTAACTAAGATGAAGCAATTTCTTTTCTCTCCTTGGATAAAGAAGCAATTCAGTTGCCAGCAGTCTTTAATGATCCGCCCATTCACTGACAAGGCACCGCTCCCTTCTTTCCTAGGGTGCAGATTGTGAGATTAGGACAAAGCAAAAGATAGTCCTAAAACATAAGGGTAGAAATAGTATATAAAATGAGACTGAGATTCTATATAGGGCATAGATTCTCTAAAAATGCTACCTAGTCCATGCACTCCAATATAGGAGATGTTTCTGTTCAAATACCACTCTAAAAAGGGAAAGATCACACAATTTCAGGATGTGCTGTGAAATTTCTGCAGGGTGTTAAATCCTAGTGCTTCAGCTTCCCATCTGAAAAACAGAATTTCCTTCACCAGGAAGCAGATCTTCTGAGGAACATGATGCACGGATGCATAGAATCACAGAATGATTAAGGCTGGAGAAGACCTTTGGAGATCCTCTAGTCCAACGCTCTGCATAAGTAGAGTAACCTACAGAATGCTGCACAGGATTGCATCCAGGTGTATTTTTAATATCTCCAGACAAGGAGACTACAAAACCTCTCTGAGCAACTTGTTCCAGTACTCTGCCACTCTCACAGTAAAGAAATTTTTCCTTATGTTTAGAAGGAATTAACTGTGCTTCAGTTAGTGAGTGTTACCTCTTGTCCTATCACTGGCCACCACTGAGAAGAGTCTGGCTTTTGACACTATCTCTAAGGTATTTGTACATCTCTCAGCCTTCTCTTCTTTTGGTTAAACAGGCCTCGTTCTCAGCATTTCCTCATAGGACTGATACTGCAGTCTCCCTCATCTTTGTAACTAACTCTACATTAGACTCTTTCCAATAGTTCCATGTCCTTCCTGTACTGAGGAGACCAGAACTGGACACTGTCGACGCGGGGGTCTCAGACACCATGGGCACGATCAATGTGATCAAGCAGTGCCAATTTATTCAGGGTTCCAAGCGCGCTTATATGCAAGGCTCCCCGTACACACGAGCGCTTCTTTACAATGATTGGTTAGACCCCACGTCTACGCATCTAACTATGCAGTGTGACAGGCTAACTAGCAGTATCCACGTGTCCTTACATTTAACAACCGCCCCCCTCTACCTGTTTGTCTCAACTCTTTGACTCCTTGTCTGATTGTCCACCGAATTCCTTATCTTTTAGTCAACAGTCTTTTCATCCTTTTCAGCTAGGTGTGGCACCTATCTGCCCATTCATCTGGGTCTGACGCCCATCTGCCCTTTCTGGCTTGCTCACAGCATGATCACTGGCCTTCAGAAGTCCCACAGGACACAGTACTCCAGATGTGGCCTCACATCTAGGGCTGAATAGAGGGGGAAGATCACCTCCCTCAAGCTGCTGGTAATATTCTTCCAAATGCACACCAGGATGCCATTGCCTTTCCTTGGTCACAGGGGCATGTTACTGGCTCATGGTCAACTTCTTGCCCACCAGGATTCCCAGGTCCTTCTCTGCAGATGTGCTCTCCAACAGGTCAACCCATCATCTGTACTGATACATGGGATTATTCCCCACTCTGTGTAGGAACTTGCACTTCCCTTTGTTGAACTTAATGAGGTTCCACTCCACCCATCTCTCCAGCCTGTCCAGGTCCCTCTGGATTGCAGCACAGTCGTCTGGTGTATCAGCCACTCCTCTCAGTTTTGCTTCATCACCAGACTTGCTAAGAAGGCGCTCTGTCCCTTCTTCCAGGTCACTGATGAATAAATTGAACAGGATGGGGCTCAATACTGACCCCTGGGAGACAGTGCCAGCTACAGGCCTCCAATTAGACTCCACACCACTGATCATAACCCTCTGGGCTCTGCCATTCAGCCAGTTCCCAATCCACTTCACTGTCCACTCATCTAACCTACACTTCTGAGCTTGCTTATGAGGATGTTATGGGAGAGAGTGTCCAAAGCCTTGCTGAAGTCAAGGTAGACAACATCCACTGCTCTTCCCTCATCTACCCAGCCAGTCATTCCTTCATAGAAAGCTCTCAGATTCATTAAGTATGCTTTCCCCTTGGTGAATCCCTGCTGACTACTCCTGGTCACCTTCTTGCTCTCCACATGTTTCGAGATGATCCAGGATGAGACGCTCCATCACCTTTCAGGGATGTTGTTAAGGCTCATTGGCCTGTTGCTGACTGGGTCCTACTTCTGTGACATTAGCTTTCTCCTAGTCCTCAGGCACCTCTCCTAGTCTTGATGACCCCTCAGAGAGGATGAAGAGTGGCTTCACAATAATATCTGCCAGATCCCACAACATTCTTGGGTATATCCTATCAGGGCCCATGGACATGTGGGTGTCATATTTGCCTAAATGTTCTCTAACCTGATCTTCCTCAACTAAGGGCAAGTCATCCTTTCTCCAGACTTCCTCTCTGGTCTCCATGGTCTGGCCATTCCAGAAGGCTGGCCTTAGTAAAGGCTGAAGCAAAGAAGGCATTCAACAACTTTACCATTCCTGTATCTTTCGTAACCTGGGCACCCACCCCATTCAGCAGCAGAACCACATATTCCCTAGCATTCCTTTTATTACTACTTTATTTGAAGAAGCTTTTCTTGTTGTCCTTGACATCCTTTAGCAGATTTAATTCCAAATCTGTCCTAGCCTTCCTTGTTGCATCGCTGCATACCCTGAGAAAATTCATATGTTCTTCCCAAGGAGTCTGCCGTCTTTTCCACATTCTGTATGCTTCCTTCTTCTGTTTTGATGCACCAGTGTTGAGCCTGAAGGAAGTGATGCTTGAAAACTTATAAGCTATTTTGTACCCCCGACCTTCCTTCTAGGGTCCTAACCCATGGTATTCCTCCAAGTAGGTCCATGAGGAGACCAAAGTTTGCTCTCCTAGAGCCCAGACTTGTGATCCTATTTACCAGTCTGCTTCTTTCTCGATGGATCCTGAACTCCACCATCTCGTGATCACTACAGTCAAGCCTACCCCCAACTTCCACATCTCCAAACAGTCCTTCTTTATTTATTAGTAGAGGTCCAACAACACACCTCCCTGCCTCTCTCTCCCCCACCACTCTTCCCGGGACTGTTTGTGCCTAGCTGTGTTGTCTTTTTAGCAGATAGTTTCCAGCAGGTGTTTGATACTAATGAGTATCAAACTCATTGAATCTTTTTAATCTCTGGGGAAAGAAAGAGAGAAAGAGAGAGAGAAAGAAAAAAAAGAAGAAAGAAAGAAAGACAGAAAGAAAGAAAGACAGAAAGAAAGAAAGACAGAAAGAAAGAAAGACAGAAAGAAAGAAAGACAGAAAGAAAGAAAGACAGAAAGAAAGAAAGACAGAAAGAAAGAAAGACAGAAAGAAAGAAAGACAGAAAGAAAGAAAGACAGAAAGAAAGAAAGACAGAAAGAAAGAAAGACAGAAAGAAAGAAAGACAGAAAGAAAGAAAGACAGAAAGAAAGAAAGAGAAAGAAAGATGGATGCACATTTGATGTTGAAGCCATTTTGGAAATAAAATCTCCTACAAACACCGCAGAGGGTACAGAAATTACACAAGGAGATGCAAGAGGTTGCTAATAGCAAAGTAAATTTTAAGCAAAAAAATGCATGCTGATTCATAAACAGAACAACAAGGGAAAAAAGGTATTATTTCACTGTGAGATTCTGCCATATTATTATTAATATTATTATTACTATTATTATTGATATATTAGTTGTCCATAGCTGTAATTTCTCAGAACTTGTTCTCGACCTTTCAAATATCAGCCCTAAGATCCAACTTTTCCTCACATTATTTCTCAAAAAAAGAATGACAAAGTGTATGTAAGGTGGTGCATACCATGGGTGCAATCCCAAGCAAATGTCAAGTGCTCTCTGAGATCATTTCTGCATGTGTAGGAGGCCCCTGCTCCATGTAAACAAATGACAGCCTTACCACTGAGCTCACCAAAGAGAGGATCAAGCCTGCAGCACTCCCTGGGAAGTACATGCCACACAGGCAAGATAAGGCTGTGGCCCCATGAGAGTTAGGGAAGACGGAAATTTCTGTGTTCCCTGTGTAGTGAGAACAACCATAATTCTGTTTTTAAGGCCAGAAGATATTACAGGGACTGTCTCTATTTCTTTTGTGTGTGTGTAATACAGAGAACGCAGGAACTTTTGCTTCAACTTTGCAACTCAGTTTGCAGTGGAATACCATTTTTAGATGTTAACACCATCTAATCAAAAGATGATTCCCTAAATGAAATAGAGGGATTAATAAACCTGCACCTGAAAAGTTGTTTGTTTTATGCACCACTGCCATTCTGAATCTCTCTGCATTTCTCTATGATCATGTTCATGTCAACCTCTGAAATGTCCCAGGGCTGTTATGAACTTGCAAATTCTTCTAGCACAAGACATGACTTCCAGGTGCTTGGTCATTTTCATAGTTCTTTTTTGACTGCCTTCCAATATCAGACATTTTTGAGTGAAGTTGTACACATCTTGCATTGGGCATTGCGCAAACAATAGCTGCAAGTTACTTCTCTGAAGAAGTTAAAAGGTACAAAACTAGGAAAAAGAATAACAACAACAAAAAAAACTTAGCCTGTAACAGAAAAGAATATTTCACCAAAAAAAAAGTTAAGTGATCACCCAGAATTCTTTAGTTAATGTTGTAACTGTTGTGCTTACATCCTCTCACCAAGGCAAGTAAAGTTTTATCAGAAGCTATATGTCACCTGCTCAGCCATTATGTTATTTAAGGTGGCTACCAATAATAAAGTTCCCACAACACAGGTATTTAGAGTTGAAAATTGCCAGTACAATTAAAAATAACTACTTGAAAGCACATGGGCAGGATGAAATTCCTTGAAAATATATGAAGCAGTTCCTGGTTATCCAAATCATTTCCCACATTTTAATTAGGAGAAACAGTGGAAAGAAGGATATTTTTTCATCATGCTGTTCCTGTTGAATGCACAGCATGGAACATAAGAGATATTAAAAACAAAATAAAAAGATAGATTTCTTCCATTGATTGAAGCTGGAATCATTTTCCTTTAAATATAATATACAATGTGTTACACATGGTCTTTGCTTGCTTTTCAAGACTTTCCGCAGCTTGAATAATGGAAACATGTTCATCTGTTTCTTTTCTGTCTTTCAGTCAGTTTCACTTTCAGATTCTCAGATTTCACACTCCCGTCCTCAAGCTTCAAGCACTCCAGGAAAACACTTATTTCATTAAAAAAAAAAGGCAAACAAGCAAACAAACAAAATGTGTTTTAGATATTTTAGTGTTTTATTCATGTACAACATTGTCTACTCGTCTGAGGTTCAAATGCAAAGTATGATCCAAGACTCCCCTAAAGCGTCTTCAGGACTGTTTGGTCATATTCTGAAGGGCGGAAAAGGAAAAAAAAAGGGGGGGGCGGGGCGGGGTGGCAGAAGGGATATGTTTTGCAGAGCTGTCTAATACCAGTAAAATGTCACTGCATCTGACAGATTTTGTAATAACTGCGTGTAATAAGCGCAGAGGCACGAGGCATCCTGGCAAACTGAAGAAGGTGGGCTCCAGTAACTCCGGCAAAGAAGTGATTGCCTCTTGGGCAACCGCGGCGGGGCTGGGAGCAGGGCAGCCCCGCAGCCGGGCCGCGCATCGCTGCGGGAGTGTGGGGAAATCGCTGTGCTGTTTTCCCAGGAAAACGGTCACTGCGAGGCGCCGCGGTTCCGAGGTGCATGGCGTGCAGCTCTGCCGGGAACGTCCCACGCGGGGCGGCGTGCACCACCTCTCCAGGAGCGGGCGTCCTGGTACCGACAGGATTAAAGGGAAAAACAAACAAGCAAACATCTACTGATGGTGTTTGATTTAATCATTTGTGCTTTTAAACAGCCGAAGCTGCTGACGGAAAGAAAGTGAGGGAAGTTTTTTTTTTCTTCTTTTTTTTTCTTTTTTTTCTTTTTTTCCTTCTGGCACTCGGTAATCTCTACATGGAGGCTGTTAAAACATCTGCTGTCTGTATGCGCATGCAGGGACAGGGACAACGCGAAGAGGCGGCCAGGAGGGCGGCTTCATCGGCAGGGCGTCCGAGTCACACGCCGCCTGGAGCTGGTGAAGAGATTGGACACTGAGCCGTCGCACTGGGGAAGGGTTTTCTCATGGCGTCTCTGCAGATCGAAAGCATGTCCACGTACACAACTGGCGTATTTCCATTCCTGCCTTTAGGAGGTTATCTCTTTTTAATAGGATCCCTCCCCTCCGTACCGCCGCAGTCCCATGGACTCCGTTCCATCGCTTCTGCCCCTGCATGGCTGCCCCACGGCACCTTCCCATTGGCGGCGGCCGGGCCCTGCCCCTGACATCACCCGCTTTGTGGGCCCTCCTAAGCCATCCAATGGCTGTCCATTGCGAGAACCCTGTAAATCACAATCGCTACAAAGATACAAAATCAGACGGGAGCGCTTCTGAATTAAACTTTGGAGAAGGAAAACGTGCACCAACACAACACGTTCCCTGCCCACAAAAGTTGCAAGGATGGAGACATAAACGCTGGAAGCCAAAGAGCTCCACTCTCATCGCGGAGCACGCCACACAACCGGGGCTCGCCGCCCTCGATGGCGGCGGGGGATGCTCCTCCTCTCTCCCTTTCCTCACCGTCATAAGAGCGACCCTTACCAGGCAGATCTCCCAGTGCCTCCAGCCGCGGTCTCGTTTCCGACAAGCTCCTGGACTGGGGGCATGAGGGCCGCACATGG